CGGTGCGGTGGGTGGCATCGGTCCCCCGTGCTGTGCCTGGTGACCTCTTGCTGAAGGACACCATTCAGCTGGGCCTTGGGAGGTGATGGGACGTGTTCCTAAAACATCTTGAAATGGGTTTAAATGTGAACCGAGCCCCCGGCACCCCACGCACCCAGCCCCGATGCGGCACCCACCCCAGCACCCTTCACAGGGCAGGCGTGGACCTTTCCACCCCTTTCCATCCCCGGCCCTGCGATGGCTCAGCCGCCGTTTCGACATGTACGGTACCATACGCTGCTCCGTCTGCCAGGTGTCTCCTGCACCCTGGGTGGCCCGTCTTTCCGTGCACATCAGGCATTTCCCTTATAGTGCGCTGGCTCGGAGCCACAGCCGTACGTAAGCAGCTGCTCAGCTATTAAACAGCCTTATAATCTCAGGACTTAGCATCAAAGCAGAAGCTCTCTTAGCAGGGACGTGCAGGGATCAGACTTAAAAGAAGTTGCCGAAGTAGGCTGGGGAAGAGTCTTTTGCCAAGTAACATCTGTCTAAGACAGTTAACATTAAGTACAAAAAAAACAACCCCTTTTGTTCGCTTATGTTTAATGAGCAGGAGCGTGCTCTCATGGAGCCCAGTGTCTCATTTCACTTTCTAAACCAGGTCTTGCATAAGCCCATGTACTTACCTGATCTTTTCCTTCTCTTTCAAAACAGGCACGCAAGCCCAGCTGGCCTTTTGCTGACAGCTGTAGTGGCAATTTCCTACACAATCGCGATGCTGTATGAGGGGTGAGTAGCTTTGCAAAACTGGAGAGCTAATTATTTCTACCAGCTTTAACTCCCGAGGTTTTGGAGAACTGCAGAAGTAAAGATGCTTTTTCCAATTAATTCAGTGGGGAACAAGGAAAACAGAGGATTGTTTTTCAATTGTTTTGATAATGGGCAGATTCCTCTCTGAAACTATTTGCTGAGTTCTAGGAACATTTATGCATTTGTTTATTTTTATCAAAATGAGATCTTTTTTTCTTTTGAGTGCCTGAGTCTGTCTATACAAGAACAATGAGGGAGGCAGTGAGAGGGCTTATTGTGTCATCTGAAGAGACCCTGCAAGAAGAGCTTGCATTTTGTCGTTCCTTGGATGAGCTTCTCTGCTATTTTATACCACAATAGCCTGGCAGCCCAGGACAGAGCAGCCCAGAATTATTCCCAGAAGCAGTGATTGTGTTTCAGCAGTGAAAGGTCTTTTGTGTTTGCAAGGGAGGAGATGCAAAGGGAGCCGAGGCCGGTCTGCATGCAGGGGGAGTCCAAGCGTGTGCTGAGCCTTGTCCCGCTTGGAGGGATGGTCCCGGGTGGGAGCCGCTCCGCAGTCCAGAGAGACCGAGCCGAGGATTGCCATGGCACGGGAATAATTGGGCTGTGCCAACCCATGAAGGGCAGAGTTTCTGGGCCCAAAGGAGAGCACACAGTAGTCTTGATTTTATCTTCTCCCCCCCTTCTTTTGCCCCCCTCTTGTGTCTCTGTCCCCTCTCCCCCCAAATTCCCATCCTCCCAACCACAGGCCTTTCACAGAGGAAATATATCGGCAGAAACAGAAGGGAGCGAAGAACAAGTAGCAACAGGTATGTTTGCCGATCGGTGTTTCAGCGAGAGGGGCTGTTTTGCCAGGCTCCCCCACCTACAAGCGTGTTAGACGGGGACGGGAACACCACCCACCCTCCCAGCGTGCCCCTGCCCAGCCCTGCCCTCCCCGGCTCCTCCAGAGCCCTTCCTGCGCTTCTCAAAGGATTTGAGCTTCAAACCTCCGCAAAAACCCAGGCGGGAAGGCTTTACACAGCGGCGGGGGGGTGTGGGCTGTAGTGTACATAGCC